GTATGGCATGCCCCCTCTTCTTGGGAACTGTGAGTAACAAGCTATCTTTTCAATGGCAGTTGTTTCCTAATCTGCTGGACTCATCATACCCAAATAATAATAAAACCCACATTTTAAGACAGTAATGGTAGACTCTTAACAGCTGGAATAAATGTTTACCTATATTTTAATCTAACATTTATTGAGCACCTACTAGATGTCAAGCACCATTCTGTGAACACACTTATGAGGATTAGAAGAACTCTATGAATACTTCTTGATTGTATAGGGCTGTACTCTCTCTTCCATGTCTTCCTTTATGAATACACTGATTCCAGTCCTTTTTAAATCAGGATTATATTCAGGAGTGAGACTCAAAATATTTACCAACCAGTGTGATGTGCCACTGACCAATTAGAACAGCTGCCAGTTGTAGAGCTGAAGATGGATGCTGGACACTATTTATGGGCCAAGCCCCTTTAGTTGCTGAGTAGTTGGGAGGTTTGGGACATCTTGGGGGAGGGTCAGAGGTGGTAGTGGGAGTAGGGGTAGTAATATTGTCACATTTCAATATTATAATAACTGTCATGGCCATACCAGTACTCTTTTTTTCTTTTTAATTATTTTTTTATTGGTTATGAATATTCATGGGATACAAAGGTGATTGTCACCACTCATGTCCAAGATGTGATGGCCAGATCCATACTGGCAGCATGCCCATTACCCATACCACTACTCTTAAGTTGAATATTAGTCGTGATAATACATCCCTTAGTTTTCTCTTCCTTCTCTTCTTTCCCGCTCCATGTTTCTTCAACCATTCATCTTACAAGGTAAATTATACACTTTCCTATATTGGTCATCTTGCTTTGAATAATAGCCAGTGTTTTTCTCAAACTAAACTGCTTGGATTATTCTAGAAGTGGTCTACCAGCTCAGAGTGGACACGTTGCATGCTGATTGAAACTCTCTATTTCTATTAAGACCATTAGAATTATACTTTGTGTTTAATATCAATAAAATGAAAATTGAATATGCCTTTTATTAAGTGCTTCACTGAAATAAAAATGACAGAATTCATGCATTCCCTAGCTGGCATGCAAACTAATGAAAAGATTATCATATATTCCTTAAGCCAGCAAGTGTTTCAATATATTTTAGATTATATTTTGATACTATAATCTTTATTTCCATATTGTAAAAGTTAATATGCTCACTAATCTGACAATAGACAGACATTAGCTGCAGTGTCTATTGTAACTGACAATAGACACTGCAGCTAATGTAAATTAGCACGTTCTGCTGAAATTGGAAAAGAGAGGGAACAAGGACACTATTTGAAAGAATGATGATAATGCAACCAAAAGTACAATCCTCAGTAAGATTTGTTTTCAGAAATATTATTCTATAACAGAAACATTCAGAAATATATTGTCTATAACAGTGTTAAATATCATTTGATACCGGCAAAGAGTTCTGTGATAAAAATCTCTAAGATGTATTTTATCATTAAAAATTAAACTATCACCATTTGCCAAATTTTAGGTCCATTCTTCAAAAGACAGTATATATTACTGATGATTTTTTTGAGGTTCAAATACAATGTTATTTTGCTTTCTTAGTGATACTATGTCCTATTTTTAAAACTGTACAATAGATATTTCAAATTGTGTACAGGTCAATCATTAATGTAACAATTAATCCTTGCCTCAGAATTGGTACCTTTGAAAAAAAAATCACTTGTTGAAATTTCAGTTTAATACCTGAATTAGCCCATACTTGGCAACCCCTTAATGTAACAATTAATCCTTGCCTCAGAATTGGTACCTTTGAAAAAAAAAAATCACTTGTTGAAATTTCAGTTTAATACCTGAATTAGCCCATACTTGGCAACCCAAAATTTTTTTAAATCAACCGCTAAGGCTGCATTTCCTGATGGCTGTAATCATCAAATGCAAGTTTCCTTAAAGGATTTGCTTGACCATTTATAATAAACTATTAGAGCTTTCAAAGCTAAATTAAAATGACATCAGATTCCTTTTTGGGTCTGAAGTGTCCACACTGTACAAAAAGATAACAGATCAAATATATTTTCTAACGCCCAATGAAAAACAGGTTTTTGGCTGTCAAAGATGATAGTGAAGGCCCAAACAGAAGAGTTTTAGATCATAGTCTCATATTCTCTTAGTTGGAAGGGAACATTAAATATCCTCTAACCTCATCACCCATTTGAGTAATGCATTCATGGCCTCCATTCTTGTCTGACACTCATTTGCTCTGAAGCAGCCCATGGCTTCTTTGCCTATACTTTCAATTCCTTTATTGGGAAACACTCAAGCTCATTTTAAAATCCAGAACCTTCAAACTGGTGGAGAAAAGCAGGATGTTACCCAATTTAGAAATGCACTATTAGCACAGGTTAAGCATTTGCTTGTTCCATCTAGTAAACAGATAGTTGAGGCAAAATTTCCTCTAGGATAAAAGTGGCCCCTTTGTCTACACATGATAAAAGGTATTCAGTCATGATAAAAGTTCTTCAGATTCAGTTGTTTGTCTTCCTTCACAACATTTTAGAGACTCTGCCTATACTAGGCAACTTTAGGGAGCCCAAGAGAAAAGTAACCCTGTGAACTCCACCTCCAGCTCTCCATTTCTCTTATATCACCAGGATTACCTGATATTCTCTGGATTACCAGACAGAAGAGAAATCTATATTTACACCTGTGACTTGGGTTGGGAGGCTAGTGAAGAAGCCTGGGCAACACAATTTATGTAGTATTAGAAGACCTGAATTTCTGCTCTTGATTCTACCACTAGTGAGTTTTATAATCATGAGCAAGTCACTATATTTCTTGTTTCTCAGTTTCCTAGCTATAGAGGGAGAACAAATATACCTACATTTCAGGGTTGTTGTGAGAATTAAAGGAAATTATACAGAACATGTAAAATTGAAAACCCTTAATATTTTCTCATTGCATCATTAAATTTAGCAGCGATGCAATTTTATAACCTTAATGCCTTAATGAGCAGTAAAAGAGTTAACAGACATTAAGAAATGTGTTAGTGTGTAAAATTCACTTAGTCTCATTTCTAAAGATCCTTCATGACAGTTCTCCACTGCCTCGAAGACTATAATTTGAGTTGTCAACATGTAGTTAGAAATGACACTCCTAAGAAATCTCCTTTGCTTGGCACTTGAGTTAGGAAGTTAAAAATGACTAGATTTTGATTGCGAATTATACTTTTTTTTCGTTGGGGATTCTAAAAAATGCATATAACTCCTGTGTATGCCTGTTCTTACTATTTGTTCTTTCAAGTATACACAATTGTTTTAAATGTAAACATAATACTGGCATTCATTGATTAATTCACTGATTCATTCATTCAAGTAATAATAGAATACCTATTGTTATAGACACTGTTCTAGTTTCAGGGTATATAACAGTAAACATCACGTCTTTTATCAAACTTACCTTCATACATTGTTATTTTTGAAGGATATCACCACCACAACCACCACCACAAAAAAGACCTCCGTCCTCATTTCTCAGTATATTATCTTTTACTGGTGCTTTCCTTTACTGTTATTTACATATTTTCTTCTTTCACAAATTCCGTTCTCTTTCTCCACAGATTTAGGAGGAAACTCAAAGTAATTTTCTTCTCTACATTATCTCTCTCTGATTAACATTGCTAATATCAGCAATCTTTGACTTCTAAGACTTCAAACATGACAATGTTTGCTGCATTGAGATAGTACTTTTAGTACACTTTATTACAAATTGTGGCAGTATTTACCCAATTTTACATGCTGTTTACTATTCCTGTTTATATTTTTTTTTTGGGGGGGGAAATATCACTCTCCATTTCACAGGAGTTTGCAAATACTGCCAAAACATTTTCACAATATCGGCGTGGAGGAACACTATTCTTGCCTTTCTGACAAAATATCAATGCATGGCAAAGGTACCCTCGAAGCTATTTGTTTATTTTGGGGATTAGATTGAAGTTAAAAGAATTTCAATGAAGCATGGGCTCCTGATGTAACCCATAAAGTATTTGGTCTTCTGTATCCTGGAGAAAAAAATACAGTTTATAACTTGTAACCTTTTCTTGTATAAATTTGAGTAAGGCACCATGAGGATCAACTCCTCACACTTTTTGACTCTAGCAGTTGATGTAAACACCATTCCATGCAAGTAGGCATCTGTACTCTCTCTGATTACAAGCATGTTTTCCCTCATAATGTACTTATTAAAACTTTTACTATAAATTTCCCTATGCTGCATCATAAACCCTTCAGTATAAAACAGTGTACCTTGCTTCAGCCAAGCACATGTTACATCTATAACATATACGACTGCAATGTTTTAAAAATATTTTTCTTTCCATTTCCATTGCTTTCCTAGAGTGAAGTACATTGTGCCCACATTATGGTTTCCTACTTGGTCTTTTCCCTCAGCCTCACTTCATTCTAATTTGTCTTGATACCTAAATGTTATTCTTATTTCAGGGTGCACCTAAAATTCCTGTAAGAATATGTCCCTGGCCACTCCCAATGACACTTATCTTTTTGAATTGTGGGTTTTGTGTTCATATGGTTTAGCATTAAGTCATGAAATACCTCATTTTGCTGGAGAATTATTTGATGTGTGTATTTCTGCCTCCCGACTGCAGCAGGAAGTTCCTTCTGGATGGGTGCCGTATCTTATAAGCTCTGATCATAATGTCATGTAACTGAGTCTTGTGAGTATCTTGTGAAGTTCCTCTTAAATTAGATATCTCAAGGCATTAAGCATAGTGAACTGCACTCAGTACAAACTCAAGAGCCACATACTGAAAGGCTGCAATACCAAGATCTTCTTAATGATCACATAGAAAAGCTGCTTAAAAAGTGCCAATATGTCAAAAGCCTCAAAGAGTTTTTTTAATATAAAACTTTGCCATTTCTCTAATCAGTGCGCAATAATTATGCAAAAACATTTCTCCAATTTAATGAGTAGTCAAAATGGGTTACTTACTAAGGCAAATTTTTTGTTGAGAATCATCTGCTCCACCAAAGACGACTCATTGTGGAACAGGTGGGGCTGCATATGGCTCCACATGTGAGGAAACCACCAGAACTCATCGACAGACCCCAGCAGACAGTCATCTCCTTCATCTTCCTTTTCAGTTCCTTTAGGAAGGAAAAAAATTATTCAATTAATTCCAGTTATACTGATCTACCTATCGATCAATTATCTATCTAATTATGTACTCTCATGTATGCATTTAGAAGACATTTCTACTGTCCTACGTACATATAAGGCTTTGACATGCAGCAAAGGAAAATCTATTAGGAAACAACCAGAGAATGTGACAAAACTCTTTTAAGACTTGTTAAACCTGAGGCATGGATATGAAATAACTGCAAGATGGAAGGAAACATAACCATTCCCAAAGATGTTAGAGCTCGTAACTTTTATCATCTTTGTACAATTTGTAGTTTGGAGAGAATAGAAGGATAAGTAGGAAATGCGATTGAGGAGATATGAATAAGAAAATCTGTGTCAGAGCCCCTGTAGTAGATCATTTCGACATGGGTTTTATACACCTTGCACAACAAAATAATTCCATAATTTATTTAGATTCCTCCTTAGGTGTGAGAAGAAACTAAGTATTTGGTAAGAACTAAGGCATCTGAAGGAAAAAAGAAGGAATGTGGAAATTGTTACTGGGAAAATTAGAGAAAACTGAAGGAAAGAAAGGAGAAAGGATAAAAGTGATGGAAAGAAGCTGAGAAGTGGTAAAGTCATAGTGAAATAATCCAAACTGCTCCTTGGTGGTGCTCATGTTCCTCATGCTTGCCCTTTCTCTCAAGTTCTTAGAAGTAGACTTTACATCACAAAACTCCTGTTGCCTTCAGAGTCAGCCCTGTTGTTGTTCCTCTGATTTTTCATATCTGGCTTGTTTTATTTCCTCCTTTTCCCCTGACCTGCAATTTAGTTGAGTGTGGGAAATCCCGCAGTTCTCTTAGCTTATTTTAGGAGCTAGGAGTCTTCTTGTACTCCCCCAGGCACAGCTTCTTTACTAAAGCATAAAATGAGAGCAGTATAAGGTGCTCACTACTGTCCTGGCATATCATAAAATGCTACTACTCATCACAAAATTATGCAGCCACACTTAAATTTCATCCACAACATTGAATGCAATAAGCTTTTATAGCGGCGGGTTCTTCAAATCGTGTCCACTCAGTGTGCAGAAAATCTCCCCTCATATTTTCAGTGGCAGCTCTGATGTGAATGGCTTTACTAGGGCCCTGTAGTCTAAGGATGGAGGCTGGACTGCTGCCTTGGACCAGCCAACTGAGCCCAGTGCCTGCTACCACTGTTCTTTTATCAGTTTCCCAAGAGAAGGAAGGCAGAGCCCATTGGCATGAAAAGAATCAGATCCTATGATTTATTGAGTATTGAAAACAATTTACCAAAGATAGAGGTGTAGTATAAGGCTTCATGTCATTTATACAGGGAGAACAAGATTGAGTGATGTAGAAGGAGTGAAATAACATAATTTTTAAACAACGTCTTCAATTTCACTTTCATAGGCTTAAGTACTCTACTGATATGAAGGAACTTTCCCCCTACATACAAAGATTACATCTGTTTTATTTTCTTTATTTTTTCCTCTGTATCATACACTCATGTTATCATAGCATACTGGAACAAGTATAGCCTTTGGAGTCGGAAGTTTTTTAGTTTATTTGTAGGCTCCAACTCATTTGATTTGTGTGGCTACAGTCAAGTCATATAACTCCTTTTATGTCTATATTCACATAGGTAAAAATGTGGATACAAGTAGCAGCACCTATTTTATTCTCTTCTGGAGTAAATGTCTACATAGTTCTGGCATATATTGGGTAACCTATAACACCCCTTTCCTTTCCTTTTGTATTTCCTACTTTTGTTCTCCTAATGTCTCCTTGCATGTCTCCTTGAGTTTTTGTTGTTGTTTGTTTTTACCACTGTAATACCAGATGAAGGGAGGAAGTGGTTCTCACTCGAGGGTTGTATGGCAGAAGAGACATTGTGTTCAAGAACTGACCAAGCCATTATGTTAACTCATTGGCCTGATTAATGAGTCATCAACATTGAGCATTCTTGGGGCTTCTGAGTGGCTATCTTACAGTTCAGGGAAGCCTTCTAGAGAGAGATGTGAAAGAATAGGAAGATGGATTCAGGGGTTTAGAAATTCTGATGATCCCAGTCACAGCAGGATCTTGGTTCCTACTACCTTTTTGGCAATAAATAAGGTGGCCCCAGTAAAGAAGTTATTTGATAAGTGTGACTGGTGATGCTTAAACACATGATTTATTTGACATAAGAATTAGGTCATTTGGTTTCCCCACAATCAAACATCTCTACTTATATTCAAGATACTTTCTTGATGATTAACATTCTGTATGTCTTCAGGACACCATATTAGTTAAGTCAGTTATTTGTTGCAGTTTTACTTTCCACCACTGAAAACAGGCAAAAGTCTCTTGAGGTTTCCCAGTAATCAATACGTTCCTGATTTCCCCTCCCCTGCAATGTCAGTGTGAGTAAAGTGAGCTGGGATTCCCTAGCTTTTGAAAAGTCTCCGCTGCTGCTTTTAATTTCTGCTCCCAGTTGCCTATAACTTCTATCTTTACTTGCATCTTTCCTGTCACCTCTCCTTTATTCTTTTTTTTAGTTGACCTTTGCACAAAGTTTGTTTACCAGGCCAGCACAACAGATCTCAGGGTTCTTTGGAAAGATAGCTCAGGCATTTGTTGCCCTTTCCTGAATATCGTGAAATGTGTGATTAAAATATTCATACATTTGAATTATGCAAGAATTAGACAAATGATGTCTGCCCTCTGACAGATTTATCTCAATTCACAGTAGTCCTAATTGTATGTCCTTTGTTTTTTCTTTATAGCTCTGTTTTATCTGATTTTCTTTAATCCTACTTTGGGGATGCTTTACATTACAGTTAAGTATATTGAAAACAAGTGTCTGTTGCTTATTACTTTAAACACTATGATAAAAAGCAGTTGAAATGTAGTTGTTCATGGGTCTACACCTGTGACTGGAACCAATTATCCCTTTTATTCCCCACCAGGACAAGCCAATATGTAGGCAGTTTTCTTTGCTTAGAACATGGAAGCAGTTTTAACATTGGCCCTTGTGAAGCCACAATGTACCAAAAATACTATGCCAAACATTTTTAACTTGTATAAAAATTCCACATCCCCATATTGGCCACCTCAAGGTGAAAACAGAGAACTCCCTAAATGTTAACTGGCTCTACTACCATAATATTAAATGTGAAAACCACATTGGAAATATAGAAATTCAAATAGAAGTAACATAAACCTGTCATAAATCATAAACAAAAAAACTATTTGTGGGACGGCATGGATGACACATGGTCTACTGTGTAAATTTTAGAATGAGTGAGACAAAAGTTGGAAGGCTGGTTAATTTTCCCCTCCTTCTCCTGCTTTGGCTTTGTCCACTTGGGTATCTAAGATCCATAATGTTAAGTTGTCTCTCAGTAATTGCAATATTAGTGTGCTGTCTTTTGTATGACTCTTCACTTACTGTATCAAGTTCAGCAATGGCTTCATCAAAAGCTGTCTTTGCAAGAGAGCAGGGCTTCTCTGGGGAGTTCAGAATCTCATGATAGAACACAGAGAAGTTAAGAGCCAGACTCAATCTGATAGGATGTGCATTGGTTGTATTTCCTTTTTGCTGATTTCAAAAGGTTCTTGATATGCTTGTTGTGACTGATCCATGATCCCTTTCTTGTCATCACCAGCAGCAACCTCAGCCGAGTCACAGTAGTAGTCTCCTTTCATTTTCAAGTAGAAGACTTTGCTCTCTGCTTGTGAAGCGTTGGGGATCAGGAACTTTTCCAAAAGAGACAGTACATCATTGCAGATATCTCTTAGCTCGGTCTCAATTTTCTCTCTGTATTCTCGAGCCACCAGCTGTTTTTTCTCAGCACCTTCCATCTTTTGCTCAGTACTTGAGATGATCCTCCAATATGACACGGGTTCCTACGACATTTTTATAAGCAACTGAGAGAAGATTCCTCTCCTCATTGGATAATGCAGCTCCTTGCTCAGTTACATACTTCATGCAAGCTTCCATATTATCATTTCGGTCAGCCTGCTCAGCCAGTCTGGCCTTCTGTGCCAGCTCATTTTTATCCATGATTGGATGTTCTGTGCCCAGAATGGGTAGCAGCAGACGGATGGGGGCTCAGCAGTCTCTGGGCAGTGGCTGCGGCAAGGCTGAGACTCTGTCATAGTCCAATTTTTCTAATGCATAACAATGAGGCTCCGATTGACTTAGGGAGCTGTTTTTGACACTTATCTATATGACCTTGGATCCCTGTAAGTTTCTTTTTTGTTATCTACAAAACAAGGTAACATATTCTTTAACTCCTAAGATTCAGTGAAAAGGTGCATGAAAAGTGCTTAGCAAGGTTCCTTGAATATGGTGATTGCTCACTAAAACAGAATTATGATTTTAATTTTTTTCATCTCTTTATTTCTCACAAAAGTGCTCAAATCTTTCAAAAGTTAAAAGAAAGCAAATAAGATAAAGCTCTCTCCCGAAATAAAGTCTTACTGTTAAGACAGTGCTGCTTTTCTCCTTCCTTTCGAGACCGAGTAAAATAGACAGCATCTTTAACGGAAAAAGGAATTACACCTTTAGAAAAGAAGACAATGGAACTTGATTAAACTTTATAACATTTAGTTTTTGAAAACTGAATATTAAATTTTACATATATTCTCACTAAAAAAATGATTTTACTGGTTTTACACAACCCGGGCTGCAGTTTTGTGGAAGTTTTCCTGATATAGACAGATACCTTGGCTTTAGCTTCCTCCTGTGTTCTACTTGCTCTGGCTTAGAGAAGAATCACTTATTGTGAGCTGTGGGAGGTGCCCAAGTCAGTGAAGACAACGGGCTGCAGTTTTGTGGAAGTTTTCCTGATATAGACAGATACCTTGGCTTTAGCTTCCTCCTGTGTTCTACTTGTTCTGGCTTAGAGAAGAATCACTTATTGTGAGCTGTGGGAGGTGCCCAAGTCAGTGAAGACAATAGATCATTAATAGATGAGAAGGAAGGAGAGGGCCTGGCTGGAGTTATTCTCCAGCATTCAATGTTAGGCAAAAAATAATGGAATTGCCAGGAATGTTTTCTCGTATTTTTGGGGTGAATCTTGGTTGTCCTGGTTTTGCTACTATGGCTCGTCTTATAATTTCCCTCTCTTCCTCCAAAAGACTACATATTCTATTTGTCCCTGATCTCATCCTGGTAATTCCTTATCTATGTGGTAATTTTCTTTTCTTCAAAGAATGTCAAGGAATCTAAGATAATGGCACTGAAATTAGGATATGTTTAGAAAGAGGTCATGGACATATTTTCTATTTCCTTAAGCTTTTGGGGTGTCCCATTGTGAAATTTAATGGTCCTATGGGTCTAAATTTGCTAGAAAGATGAGCTGAACTTCTGCACATAAAGAGAACGTTCTCACTTTATAAATCTATTCCAAGGTAGCTGAACTTCCCTATACACAAGGGATTTAGAATAGATCTCTAATTGTGTCGTCATTTTTGAGGTTATGATAAGGATAGTAACTCATTCAATCATAAAACAATATTAAACAATGATCATGAGTTTCCCAGTTAATATTTAAAACAATCAATGAAAAGTACATTTTATGTATCGATCTAAGAAATTTAGGGGAATAAGGCCTTTAGAGCTTCCTATGGTAAGATTACTTTTAAAACCTACAAAACTTCCAAATTGAGAACCCAATGTCAAATGTAGTTGTATAATTATACATATTGTATGCATTATATGATTGTGTGATATAGAACATACTAGAATCAAGTATTATGGCTATATAACTTTCATGGAAACAAATGGAAATTCACTTACTCCAGAAATGTAATATTACTTCTACCTAAAAATAAAATTACTATTTATGTTATTTATGTGCATATGAAAATTATACTCATGGCTGTGGTAAACAGGTAGAATTATCACCACTATATGCTTACTAAACCCTTGAAGGAACTTATTAAATACATACAAAATGACTCATGTCCATATTACCAGATTAAAAATTTAAAAAGCATTTGCAATTGTAGAAAACTATTTGATAAAGTTGTTTAAATATAATAGTTTTAAAAATTACTTACATGTTTATTTAAATAGATGCACACATACATATGATACAAAATGCAAAAGATACAAAGTAACTTTTCTTTTTATCTCTGTTATTTAATTCCCAAATTCTCTTCTTCACAGATACCCATTCATACCAGTTTATTATGAATCCTTTCAGAGATATCCTATATATGTATCAATAGCTGTGTGACTTTGGGCAAGCTGCTTAACTACTCTATAACTCAGTTTCCTAAGCTATAAAATAAGAGTACTATATCTAGAGTTGTGTAGATTTTAACCCCCTTCCTTTCTTTTTATACAAATGGTAGCATGTTCTAATCATGGTAGTGTGCCTTAATTTTTCAATATATTTCTCAGGAGCTCCTTCCTTACTCAGTTACATTTAAAATTGTCTCTTTTTATTGACTGCAGAGTATTCCATTATATGGATACACCTTTACATGTGATTTTTTTTTTTTAACTTCCAAAAAAGTATAGATTGATTCATTCAATTATGAAATTGTGTTTGGCTGTCTTCAGGCAAGTTGAAATATATTTAATTATATTATGTTTGGGAAAAATATTTTTAACTATTCCCAATATTTAGAGTGCTTTCTTTTCACAATACAACATGGTCAAGTTTTATTCTCTGACCTTTTCTCTATAACTACTGATAGATTTTACTTTCACTAAATGACTTGTTCATTAATTCGTTTTTTTTTTTTTTCCTTTTTGTCTTTCTTTGTGACCGGCAACGGATCGCAACCCTCAGTGTCGCGCCCGGACCGGACCGGGACCGGCAACGGAATCGCAACTCTCGGTGTTGCACCCGCACCTCGCTCAGCCAGTGAGCGGGAACCGGGCTGTATGT